TACATACAAATATATATATATATATATATATATATATATATATATATATATATATATATATATATTTCTGATGAGTCTTTATTGATGAAACACAGTGTTAAATGAGAAAAAATTTAGCTAAGTGATTTTCTACTAATTTATATATTTATATATATATATATATATATATATATATATATATATATATATATATATATATATATATATGTCACGGCTTAGGGTTAATTAACAGGACTGAGACAACTGCATAGCTCATTGATTAGGAGGCTGAGCTCTATCTATGAATGAGTCAAGTTCTCATTAAACCCAATCATGACCAAAGTAACCAAAAATTTAAAACCTAAAAAACCATCCCCACCACCTAAATATTTTAATATATCTTTTATAAATATCTACGGTACAACTTTCCATCAGTTGAGTCGGTCTACGAAACAACTTTCCATCAGTTGAGTCTTACCTCCTGCAAAATTCACCAGACTTGATTGCACTTAGTGAAACAAATTTAAATTCTGCAATTCCTTTTTCAGATGTCAGTGTTGATGGGTACTATCTTTTGATTCGTAAAGGCTCAAATAGTCACATGCTAGGTTTAGGGGTACACATACGTATTAATTCCCCTATTTGTCGTGAAATCAGGTTCGAATCCTTTGACCATTCTTTTATGTGCTTTCGCCCAGCACCTCTTCACTCTATAACCTTTCTTTTTGTTCTTTATCGTTCTCCTTCTTCCCATGATTGTACTCTTTTAGATGTTATCTCTGATCAAATTGACCATGCCCTCTCTCTTTACCCCTCTGCCAATATTGTTGTTGTTGGTGATTTTAATGCCCATCACACTAAATGGCTTGGCTCTAACACCACTGATCCTGCTGGCACTAAAGCCTTTAACTTCTGCGTTTCTCAATCTCTTACTCAGATAGTTAACTTTGTAACTCGTTTTCATGACAACCCGAATCATTTACCTTCACTTCTTGACTTATGTCTTGTCTCTGACCATAGCTTATGTTCAGTTTCTCCCTTTTCTCCTTTAAATGGTTCTGACCATGCAATTATCTCTATAAATCTTTCTTCTTGTACTACTTTTTTGGGCTCACCTTATCATCGCACCACTTACTACTACCCTAAAGCTGACTGGGATTCCTTTCGTGATTTTCTTCGTGATGGTCCTTGGGCTGATGTTTTTTCTCTCTCAGCTGACAAATGCGCCTCCTATGTAACCTCCTGGATTCAGGCTGGAATGAAAGCTTTTATTCCTTCTTGTCGGTTTTAAGTCAAGCCTCATTCTACTCCATGGTTTTCTCCTTCTTGTGCGGCTGCTATATCCAATCGTAATCATTTTTTTCATCTTTTTCAAAAGAACAACTATCTTGAGAACAAATGGCTATTTATTATTGCAAGAAATTGATGTAAAAAGGTGCTTTCTGATGCTAAACTCCATTATTCTCAGTTCACTAAATCTCGCATCTTATCACAGAAGTTAGGCTCTAAAGACTTTTAGAAAATCTTCAACAGCATTATTGACAAGGGTAGATCTAACATTCCATCTCTCATTTATGGGACTGATCTTATTACCTCTCCCAAAGATAAGGCAGAACTATTTGCAAAGAAATTTTCTTCTAATTTCACTCTTGAATCTTATGGACATTCTCTTCTTTCCATTCCAGTCAAACAGGTTGACCCATTGTTTGACATTCAAATCACTCCGGCTTCTGTTGCTAAAGTCTTATCTCAATTAAACTCGTCTACAGCTTGTGGTCCAGACAACATTCCTGTCAGTCTTGCAGAATTGTTCTCCAGAACTTTCTTCAATTCTCTCTAATCTATTTAACAAGTGTTTGACTAAGTCTTGTTTTCCTGCTTGTTGGAAAATGGCATCTTTAGTTCCAATATTCAAAAACTCTGGAGAAAATTCTGACCCCTCCAATTATCGTCCGATCAGTCTTCTTTCTGTTATTAGCAAGGTCTTTGAATCTTTGATCAACAAATTCCTCACATCTCATCTTGAGTCAAATAAACTACTGTCAGACAATCAATACGGTTTTCGATCCTCTCGCTCTATGGCCGACTTGCTAACTGCTGTAACTGAAAGATTTTATCGTGCATTAGATGGAAGCGGTGAGGCTAGGGCCATTGCTCTCGACATATCTAAAGCTTTCGACAAAGTTTGGCATGCTGGTCTTCTCCATAAGCTTGCTTCATATGGTATTTCTGGGAAAGTTTTTGAGATTATCAAATCATTCCTTTCTAACCGGTTTATTAAAGTCATCCTTGAAGGCCAACACTCTTCTTTATTTCCAGTAACTTCCGGGGTTCCCCAAGGTTCCATCCTGGGCCCTGTTTTGTTTCTTATCTACATAAACGATCTTCCTGACAACCTTTTATCTAAAGTAGCTCTTTTTGCTGATGACTCAACTTTATACTCCTGTCTTGACAAAAAGTCTTCTCTTTTCGATCGCCTAGAACAAGCAGCTGATCTTGAATCCGATCTCACTTCAGTAATAGATTGGGGTTCACAGTGGCTTGTAAATTTCAACTCTAAAAAAACCCAGTTGCTTACTGCAAACAACTACCGTAATATGGTCAACATTCCTATATTAATGAATGGCAATCCTCTTACTGAGTCCTCCTCTTTACGTCTTCTTGGATTATCGCTTACTACTGACCTTTCATGGAAACCATATATACAATCGATTGCTAAGTTAGCTTCTGCTAAGGTTGCTTCTCTTTATCGTGCTCGCCATTTCCTTACTTCTGATTCCATTCTCTACCTCTACAAATCTCTTATTCGTCCCTGTATGGAATACTTTTGTCATATTTGGGCTGGTTCTTCTAACGATTCACTTTCTCTTCTTGACAAGGTCCAAAATCGCATTGTAAATGTTGTTGGACCTGGACTATCTGCTAAGCTTGAACCTCTTTCCCATCGTCGTAAAGTTGCATCTCTTTCTCTTTTCTACAAATACTATCATGGTCACTGCTCAAAGGAGTTATCATCTCTAGTTCCATCAACTAAAATTCATTCTCGTTTTACTCGTCATTCAGCTAAGTCTCATTCGTTTACTGTATCTGTCCCTGCATGCTCTAAAAACTTTTATTCATCTAGCTTTTTTCCCCGCACTTCAATCCTTTGGAACTCTCTCCCATCTTTATGTTTTCCTGACTCCTACAACCTTCAACTTTTTAAGTCTTCTGTCAACCGTTTCCTTGCTCTATAACTCTGTTCTTTTTTTTCCTAGTAACTCCCAACTTAATAGTGGTTTCTTGCAGCCTTGTTGGAAGTGAATGCAAATAATATATATATATATATATATATATATATATATATATATATATATATATATATATATATATATATATATATATATATATATATATATATATATATATATATATATATATATATATGTATCAAGGTTACTTTTTAAAGCAACTGCATATAATTTAAGATCATAATTTATGATCTTAATTTATATGCAGTTGCTTTAAAAATATCATAAAATGTCTCATAATTTTTCAAGTAGAATAACCAGTCTTTTTTACATGTCTTTACAACAGTAAATAGAAATGGCTTAAAGGCTAATGTATAACAGTATTTTCTTTTAATACAACAGGACCTTCAAATCAGTCTATTCCACCATACCTAATTAACGTTAGTCAACTAATTATATTTATTTTCAAAGAAGATTTCTTCCTTTACTTTTTTACTTTTTTATTTTAACAAAAAAAATTAAAACCTCAATGAAATTATTAGTGAAAAAATTGTAAATAGATTATTCAAAGTTTTTTTCTCAGGAACTAAAAAAAATGTTAGTTGCTTCTACTTTGTTAACTTGTTTAAACTAACACATGGATCAATTTAAACCAGTCAAAAAAAGGAGCCTATTCAATAGCTTTTTACATCAAGAGCAGTCCATTAATTATGTCAACAACTCTATAGCAATTTGTAACTCCCTTTCCTCCTCCGCCCTTGTCAACAACTTATAAAACTTCCAGAGACCCCCTTGTGTTTAAAATTACGTCAACATTTGATTACCTCCATATTAGAAGCTTCATATATAAAAGTTCTTTAGTATTTAAATATTTTTTTTCATCTTTTACAAATTGAAAATAATTTAATAGAAGTTCTATAGAACATTCTGTCCGGCAGAGCACCGCAGAAGAGCATGTACATTTTGCATTTTACAACAAATATAAGCAAAAAAATAATAAAAATAAAAAAGAATTTTAACATAAAAAACACAACACATATATTATCAGATTTGCGTATATTACCATGGTATCATACCAAGATTTCCAGACTTCACAGTAGCTTGATAAGAGATGCAATTTTGTTAAACAATAACTTTGTTCTTCTTTTGGTTAGTATTTTGCAGTTGCATCATTTAAAACTTTTTAAAACGGTAAGATATAAAAATGACATCGGTTCTGCTAAGCAAGTTTTGAGTTTAAAAGAACTTAAAATCCATAAAACCTTTAACAAAGTGAAAATAATCAACTTCTGCAAACGTTATAACATGATATGTTTATATAATAACATATGTTTTGCAATGTTACAAATAAACAACTTGCTCAACAACAAAAAAATCAGACATAAACCTATAACAATCCAAAAAACTTTTTGTTATAAATGATTTTCAAATGGCACAAAATTTCAAATCTTTTTAAAGTGCCTTTTTTTTCTTCATTTCAAATAGAATAACATACAACTAAATGGTAAAAAACTTTGTATATAAAAAACATAACAATTAAATTTATGATTAAATAAGAAGTTGAGCAATACTCTCGCTAGTGGTTCATTGGGACTTGATATAGATAATTTTTCATTTGGACTTGGCTAGTGATTCATTGGGACTTAACTAGTGATTCAATAGGACTTAACTAGTTATTCATTGGGACTCAGCTAGTGGTTTATTGAGACTTGGGGATGTTTGTATAGCAAAAATAATAAATATTTTATTTTTATTTTTATTTTCATATAAATTATTTCTTTTATTTTTTAGATATACCTTGTTTACGTTGCAATAATTTACAAGAAGATAAAGCATCTAATGTAATGCAAGAACAGTTATTACCTGATGAAATACAAGTAGAAATAGTACGTAGTGAAACGCAAGAAGAAATAGTAACTAATGAAATGGAAGAAGAAATAGTACCTAACGAAATGCAAGAAGAATAAGTACCTAATGAATACCAGGAAGAAATAGTAAATAATGAAGTGGAAGAAGAAATAGTAACTAATAAAAACCACATTTAAAATTAACATTAAAATTAAAAAGATTCTACTTAATTATTATTTATACTCGTAGAAAATTTTTAAAACCATAACATTGTTATAAATATAATATATATGAATATATATGTATATATATATATATATATATATATATATATATATATATATATATATATGTGTGTGTGTGTGTATATATATATATAAATATATATATATATATATATATGTATGTATATATATATATATATATATATATATATATATATATATATATATATATATATATATATATATATATATATATATATATATATATATATATATATATATATGTATATATATAAATATATATATATATAAATATATATATATGAATATATATATGTATATATATATATATATATATATATATATATATATATATATATATATATATATATATATATGTGTGTGTGTGTGTGTGTGTGTGTGTGTGTATATATATAAATATATATATATATATATATATATATATATTTATATATACATAAAATTATAAAATATATATACATAAAATTATAAATATTATATATATATATATATATATATATATATATATATATATATATATATATATATATATATATATATATATATATATATATTATATCAAATTAATTTTAACATAATTAAAATTTAATTATGTTAAAATTAATTTGAACTGGTAGGTTCGAAATTTATTTTATAATAGTTTGAGGCGTATTTTTAAAAAAACTTTAGAACTTTTAAGTTCAATTTTTTTTTTTTATAATAACTTAAATAAAACTTTTTATTTTAATTGAAAATTGGTAGAAGTAATTTGTAACTTAACACATGCATTTTTGCTTCACGGCTGATTTTAAATAGTAAAAAATCCATACTGTCTTGAATTAAAATTTGTCCAAAAAAGATATTGTCCGGTTAACAAAATAAATATAAAAGAAATAAAAGACCCAACAAAAGCTTACAAAAAATAGAAAACTCTTCAAATTTTCTTCAAACAGCTATAGAAAATCATTTTGAAATTGAGAATCCAAAGAAAAATAACAATGAAAGTGAAAACAAAATAAATGTAAAACAAGCGTAGTTGAAAATAAAGACATTAATGAAGGATACAGTGAAAATACTCTAATTGTAGAGCTGAATTTGGTAATCAAATTTTCAGACAGTAACAAGAATTAGAGTGTCGATGTGAGTAAATATAAATATGATGTTGTTAAAATTCGTTCAAATTTATAACTAAAAAAACTAGTAACAAAAAAACTAATAATATTTTGTTACTGCTTACCCAAACGACTATGAAAACCGATCGACTAACAATGTACATTTTGGTCGACATTTAGTTTAGTTTAGTGAAAACTGGAACAAATTTAACAAATTACTAGAGATATATGACACTAACTTTAAAGACATGAAAGCAGTGCTAAGCAATACAATATGTGCTAAGCAATACAATTCGTGCTAAGCAATACAATTCGTTTGAAAAATGAGCTTGAAAAAAAGACAGTACATTTCAAACTATTGATTGTCTTATTGAAAAAATGTACTGATGTACAGACAATTAATAATTTTGGTTTAATGATGGCTTCTGAAAGTATGGCATTCTGTGAACCATCAAAATAAGCTTTTTTTAGAAAAATGATTGGAAGTTCTTTAAAATTATGGAACTATTTTCAAAGTTTGATCCAGTAATGGGAAAACAGTTGAAAATGCTATTTGAACATTCTCAACTGTTTGAGAATGCGAATGTTTAACTAGTATTCTCAATATTCTAGAATTCTCAACATTTTCAATTCTATAAAAAAACCATAATGAAAACACATTAAGGTAAATAAACTATTTAACATTTGAAAAATAAAATTATAATTTTTTACCTGAATTTTTTGCTTTGAAAGTAAGTGGACCTGTATTTTGAGCGGAACTCTGTAGTTTGGCTTATCGGTTACTTAATGGTACATTAGTGGCAACCGCCAAAAGTGGCTAGACAATCACTAACCACTACTAACATGTCAAAAAGTTATTGAATTACTTTTTATAGCGGTTGCTATAAAAAACAAGCTGATATTTTTCTGACATATTAGACATAAAAAACAATTGATCCACTAAGAAACCACTAGGATAAGCAAAACTCCAATGAATTCTAAAAAATGCCTATATAGGTTAACTGCAAATTCACCAAAACAATGTTTGCTGGGATGCCATAAAATTTTATATCTATGGTAAGTGCAGGCTCAATTGATAGGATTGCAAACCTATTAAGACAAACATCAGTCGTTTTTGACAACAAATAAAATCTAACTCTCTTTAATACTAAAAACTACGCGGTAGTGGTGTAGTGGTTGAGCGCTCCCTTCATAAGCAAGAAGTTCTGAGTTTGATCCCTACCACATCCCTGATAGTACCACGCTCAACTTGTTTCTCCATGCAGTGACCTTGTTCTTCAAGGTTTGTGTTTTGGAGTTATAAATTTGAGAGAGGATTATAATGACAATTAAGTAGCCTCCTTGTCTATAGTATCTATCACGGCCTTGAGGTGAATTAAAATAAATTGAAGTTTTTCAGTTCTGAAAATTTTAAAAATACCTATTAAACCCCTTAAATAACTTCTGAATTTTATATACTTTTTTGAATTGTATATGCTCTCAATTAGCAAATGACTACGAAATAAAATTCTTATATACATCTTGAAGTATTTCTGCTTTTTTAAAAACTTCTGATGGCGATAGTTCTATTATTTGAAATAAAATTAAATATTTTATTGGTTACATTAAAGAACAATTTTATTCTTTCTAGCTGAGAATGTAGTTTATTAATAATAACATAATAAATATAAATCCTTAAAGAGTCTCGGATTTCAAAATTTAATTAATCTTCTCTTTTTTCATCTGCAGTTAATTTTATTTTTATTTTGCGAATTATTTGATATATTTTGTTTCCATTTTATTAATTGCTTTTCTTCATAGATATCAAACATACTCCTTAATTATAGTTTAGATATCGAATAAATGATTTTTGTATACTTACAATTGTTTTTAATTGAATCTTGAGTGAAATCAACATATACTAGTTTTGTTTAATCTTTATATAGTTATAAGACTGTTTAGCTTTAAAATACTTTATTAGTTTCTGATCATGTGATTAAATTTTCTGATTTATCATCGTTGATAAAATTCTATGCATTGTTTGTATCATTTTATTTTTTGTTTAAACTAATACTTGCATTAGAACTTGCTGACCACTAGTTGTCTAATAGTTTTTTAAGTTATACATTTTCTTTTTTAATTAAAATGCTCAAAAGTATTTTCCATCTATTTGTAGAAGCACTGAAGGATTTATATATATTTTTAAGATTACAAAATTCAGAAGCTACATATCGCTTGTGCTTGGAACATCAAATATGATGTGTTACTACAAAAGTCGTAAAAAGTTGATTAAATTTTATGCAATTGAAACAACAAGCAAACTCGTTCTTAGCTTACAAACTTCACAAGACTTAAAAGCTATCAAACTATTAGATGAAGTAAAAACTGTAGACACGAATGAAGCTAAGTCGCAGCAAAAAGAAATATCTACTCTAAACAAAGTAAAACGGATTGAAGGAAAACAAGGAAAAGAATTAAAAGAAGAAATACTAAAAATGTATCCGAAATTATTAAACGAATTAGGCGTGATCAAACCTGAAAATCACATCAAGTTGAAAAGTGACTTAAATCCTGTTATTCATCCACCAAGAAAAATTCCTGCTACCTTGAGAGAAAAAATAAAAACAGAATTGGATGAAATGGAAAAAACAGGAGTAAAAACAAGAGTAGATGAACCAACAGAATGGGTAAATTCGCTAGTAGTCGTGGAAAAACCAAATGGACAACTAAGACTCTGTCTGGATCCAATAGACTTAAACAAAGCTATAAAAAGAGAACATTATCAATTACCTACTTTTGAAGAAATATCAACTAGACTTTGTGGTGCAAACAATTTCACTAAACAAGGCTCAAATAAAGGTTATTGGCAAATTCCACTCGATAAAGATAGCTCTATGTTAACCACGATGAATACATTTGGAAGATTTAGATTCACACGTTTACCTTATGGTATACATTCGGCTCAGGAAGTATTTTATAAAAGAATAAGTCAATGTTTTGATGATCTTCATTTTGTGGAAACTGATATTGATGATATTCTAATATGTCACGATGAAAATCTAATAAAATGTCTAAATCGAGCTGAAAAAATGGGGATGACCCTAAATATTGAAAAATGTCGATTTCAAACACAAGAGTTGATATACTTAGGACACAAATTATCAATAAACGGAGTACAACCAGATGAATCAAAAATTTAAAATAGGAACACGCATGCAATGGGGCAAAGCACAAAATCGATCTTTCAGAAAAATTAAAAAACTGCTATGTTGGGAACAATATCTTGCATTCTATGATATCAAAAAACCTGTAACGATACAAGTTGACGCATGCAAAACTGGTGTTGGAGCAGTACTTCTTCAAAATGAAAAACCAATTGCATTTGCATTAAGGTCAATGACACCAGCTCAATTAAATTATGCAATCATTGAAAAAGACCTTCTCGCAGTACTTTTTGGGTGTGAGTGATTTCACCAATATATATATGGAAAAAAAGTAACTGTTAACAGTGATCATAAACTGTTGGAAAATATTATGAAGAAATCGTAAGCAAACACTCCTCCGCGTTTTCAGAGAATGTTATTAAGATTGCAAAAATATGATACTGATTTAATTTATGAAGCTGGTAAAGAAATGAATCTGGCAGACACGTTAACTAGAGCTCGAACCAATAAAACTGAAGAAGAAATTCTGGAAGATGAAATGATCGCTCAAGTGCATATGGTTTATGCAAACTGTTCGTCATCAGAAGAAAACCTCAAAGAAATAAAATAAAAAAACACGCTCAAAGATATTATGTTAAATGTAGTAGCAAACTACATAACAAATGAATGGCCGCAGGATAAAAGAAAGATTGAAGACTCAGTAAAACTCTATTGGTCGTTTAAAAAGGAACTGACACTCATAGAAGGAATAATTTTTAAAGGACAAAGAATTTTAATTCCAACATCAACGC